ATAGATAGATAGATAGATAGATAGATAGATAGATAGATAGATAGATATACTTTATTTATCCAAAGCTGGGAATTTGATGCCCCTTCTTGGAATAGAAGGTCTTAACAATTGGAAGTGTGCTGCCCTGCATGTTTTGCATGTTTCTTTGCTCGTGCTCACCTGATTTAAATGAACAGCTTCCTCCTCAGAGCTAAAAATTCTGATCTGCTCATTTGAATGAGGTCTGACACAAACAGCCAAACCTGGAAAACCTCAAAGATCAAACTCGGTTTAGAGGACACGGATGATAAACTGTTGCCTCTCGATAGCCCACGTTCACAATTCACCTTTGTTTCCCTCTTTTTTTCTTTCTCAGACATTTCCAAAAGCGAACTCCAAAAGTCTCGAGAAGACCATCGAGATGGACATCTTCCTCCTGTACTACCTGCGAGACTCCCCGAAAGCCTTGAAGGTCTTGGAGAAGCAGCTGTCCTCCATCGGCTGCTCGGTGGCGTTGGATTTGAGCCGGGAGGAGGCGGTGGTGCGGGGGGACGCGGGGGGGGGGCCCGGGGGGGGGTTTGGTGGTGCCGAGGCCTGGGAAACGCAGGTGGATCGGATCTTCAGCAGGCTATCGGAGCGGTACCTGTGCCATCACCTGGTGGAGCCCCACGCCGTGAAGAGGGCCGTGGAGGAGCTGCGCTCCCCAACGGAGGCCGTGCAGGTCGGGGCCTTCATGACTAGATAGGGCTGTCAAAAGTATCGATACTTTAAAAAATATCGATACTTCATGATGTTCATGAGGTCCATGAGGTCCATGATGTCCATGATGTTCATGAGGTCCATGAGGTTTATGAGGTTCATGAGGTCCCTGAGGTCCCTGAGGTTCCTGAGGTCCATGAGGTCCATGATGTTCATGATTTTCATGATGTTCATGAGGTTCCTGAGGTCCATGAGGTCCATGAGGTCCATGAGGTCCATGAGGTCCATGAGGTCCATGATGTCCATGAGGTCCATGATGTTCATGAGGTCCATGATGTTTAGTTTAGTTTAATTTTATTAGGATCCCCATTAGCTGCCAAACAAATGGCCACTAGACTTCCTGGGGTCCTCACATGTAGAAATGATATTACTTTATAAAGAGATCATAAAAAATAAAAATAAAAATCACAGTAGGAAGTAATAAAAACATAAACAAGAGTAGAACTATACAATATACTGTATATACACAGGTCAGTTCATCTTATCATTTGCAGTAGTTCTGAAGACACAGTATTTTGAAGCTCCATGATGAAGGTCCATGATGTTCATGATGTTCATGATGTCCATGAGGTCCATGATGTTCATGATGTCCATGAGGTCCATGATGTTCATGATTTTCATGATTTTCATGATGTTCATGAGGTCCATGGTGTTCATGAGGTCCCCGAGGTTCATGATGTTCATGAGGTCCCCGAGGTTCATGATGTTCATGAGGTCTATGAGGTTTATGATGTCCATGAGATCCATGAGGTCCCTGGGGTCCATGATATTTATGATTTCCATGAGGTCCATGAGGTCCATGATGTCCATGAGGTCCATGAGGTCCA